GCGATTTTTGCTGCGATTTTTGTTGCAATTTTCGGAAATATAAAATCTTTTGTCTCATCCTTCAAAAAAGACATTCGTCTAGGAAAATCTTGGTATCCTGAAAAAAACTTTACAAGTAAATTTTTTACCATTATTTATTATGGACAAAATCACAAAAAAAATCGCAGCAAAAATCGCCGCAAAAATTGCTAGTGTAAACGGGGCTTGAGAAGGACTATTGCGCTCTTTGCAATAAGAAAAATGAGAAATAATTCTTACGGTTTAGCATTATCAGTAGTTTGTTTACATAGCTGTATGTAGATCTCGTCTCTTAAAAGAGCAGTTTCCCAGCCCTTGATCGTAATTTCTAGAGCAATGGAGTCTAAATCTCTTCCTCTTGTAGTGCGATCGCCCATATAAGCCAGAACCAGCTTAAAGACCTCGACGGCTTCTCTCTTTAAGTGTCTGTCATTCATTAAGATTAACGGTTTCTTGATGGGCACCTTGGGAGAGRAATGAAAAAGAAGGTAAAATTTGAACAGTGGAAAAAAAATTAAGAAAAATCCAATCTCGTACCCAGAGCCTGCGTTTTTTCTGGCCTGCGGTGAAGGACGTTCTGCTCGTTCTTGGCCGCAGGCCGGAAGAAGCGCAGGATCAGGGTACGAGATTAAGGAAAATCGTTCGAGCAATCAAATTGGGAGCACTGCGCATGCGATCTGATTGAATGGGGGTCAACTTTGATAAAGCTTTCTTTCGATGTGGACGCTTTATTCAAGGCTCGTTTTAATACGAGAATATTTTAGTAAACATTGTAATAGATTACTAATCACGATACTGCTGTTTCACGCCACTTTACTTGGAAAAACAGTGCTTCAATCACTGATATATTCCAACGACTGTCGATCATTTCTACACCCAATGCTAAACATTTCTGCATGCGATTTACGTCATGTGTTGCTATAGAAACCCCTTACCTTTGACCAGGACATCATACTAGCTATAGACACTCTCTTTCGCCTGAATATCCCTTTGGTGTGTTGGTTGAAGTAATTCTCGTACGCACCAAGACCACGGAATAGAGGTTTAGAGCTTGGTACCGAGTGCGATCGTTCCTATGAAAAAGTGAAGGTTAGTTAAGTGTGAGGTTAGAGACAAAGGCACGAGTATTACATACTGGGGACTTTGGAAAATTGAAGGGGAGGGAGGTGATGGAAGAGAAGAAGGGGGAAGGAGAGATGAGAGGCGAAAAGGGAGGAAATAGAAGGGAAAATAAGAGGTGAAGAGATAAAGGAGAGAAGGGAGACGGAGAGATAAAGAGAAAAAGAGAAGTGAAGGAAAGGAAAAAGGAGAAATGAAGAGAGAGAGAGAAGAGTAAAGGGAAGGGAAAGGGAGATATGAGGAGGGGACAGGAAAGGACAAATGAGAGAAAACCATGAAAGGAGTAAATAATGTTACGTAGCTGATAATATGTTTTTACTTACCAATGTGTTATGGTGAGAATGGGATCCCTGTGTAGTTGCTATTGAGGAGGGCCTGCTTGGTCTTGGTAAGGTTGAGGAACTACCTTTCAGGGCTAACTCTTTTTCTCTCGCCATCTCTTCTTCCTCACGCATTACTCGAGCTACAGCGCTATCAGAGTGCTGACGCTGATGTCTTAGAGATCTGTAGCCGTACTCAGAAGGTGGTGAACAGGCTTCGACGAGATGAGCGGTGTCTGCTGGCATACCACCGGCCTGGAGACGAGAGCTGAGGGATTCCTCACTCGAGTAATGATTACCTGAAAGCCAAGAAAGTCTTTCGTGAAACCTGGATTTGATCCGGTAGACATTACATAGAGATCTAGTTAGCTAGAAAATGGTACATCATTAAACTTTGCTGAAAGTATTTGTAACACCTTGCTAAGTGGATGTGACTTTATGTAACGTAGTGCAATATTGCGTGACATATGTACGTGACATGACGTGATAGGGGACAATTTTCAGGTTGTTAAGTGATATCGTGCCTCGTGCAAAACCTGACTATCTATAACAATACATGTACCCAAACTAGACCAAAATGCACCGCGATCACGAACCATTAAAACGACAACCAAGAGGAAGACGAGAGGAAAGTTATATTAAAGGAAGATGGACGGTTATGAAGGTGGTCGCTTACTAAAGGTTGTATACCATGTTGATGGTCAGTTATATGGGTGCTCGTTCGTTAACGAGAGGTAGTTCTTAAATAGGTAGTTCTTGTTCAGGGTCGATTAGATGAGTGACCTTTAGTTTACGAAAGTTAGCCCTTAAATTAGACTTTCCCAAGTCCTTGTCGCTTAAAAATATGGTCGCTTGTCATATTGAAGGTTGGTTGGATAGGTGCTCGTTCGTTTATGAGAGGTGGTCTGGTCATAACGTTGGTCATTAATAAGAGGTCAGTTAGAAAGAAAATAGGGGATGAAATTAGCCTGCGTCACATCCGGAATTTTACGAAGAAAATGATTTGACGCAGGCTAGGATGAAATGAGAGAGGTTAAACGTAAGCGAAAGAAACAGAAAAGAAGAAGAAGAAAGAAACTAACAATTCAAAAAGTCCAGCAAACGAAGAAACAGGACTTGATAACCCCCACCTTCATCTAACTCATTATCACCGTTCACCGTGGTCTCCTCCTCCTCAGGTGGTTTCTCTGGTGAACTGACATTGTCGTAGATAGACTTGTGAGAGAAACTTCCCGATGGACTAGCCAACTTTTCTCGCTCGAGTGTCCCGGATGGAGTCCCACTGAAAGAAAAAAAAGATGATAAATCATTAAGTGAAGATTTCAAGAGATGAGAGATATATTTAACATCGGTGGCACCTTTGATTCACCTTCAAATTTTATCGATACCCAGAAACAGCCGTTTGGCTGATCAAACTCAGGGCATGGCTAACTCACAGATCAAACCCTGAAACAACCTCTGGGCTGATCTAAGTCAAGGTATGGCTAACTCACAAATCGAACCCTGTAACAACCTCTGGGCTGATCTAAGTCAGGGCACGGCTAACTCACAGATCGAACCCTGAAACAACCTATGGGCTGATCTAAGTCAGGAAACGGCTAACTCACAGATCGAACCCTGAAACAACCTCTGGGCTGATCTAATATAGGGCACAGCTAACTCACAGATCGAACCCTGAAACAACCTCTGGGCTAATCTAAGTCAGGGCATGGCTAACTCACAGATCGAACCCTGAAACAACCTCTGGGCTGATCAAACGCGCAGTTACGGCTATAGTAAGATACGGTACGGCTACGGTCTCGTTTTCCACACGTACGTAAACCGCCCTATTACGCACAACATACAAGAAAACCAACAAGAAAACTCTTTATGGAAATAGCTGTAAAAATATCAAGGTACCTCATTTCGCCATTCCTCGATAAGGTCCCAGATGGCGTAATATTTCCAAGCACCTCCTCAGTATTTGGGTCCCCTTCAGGGCTGGCGCCTTCTATTGAATTGTGCCTCGATGATCCTGGTCTTGACGGAGGAGGAGGAAGACTGTTAAGACTCTCTTTACTTTCTTGTTTGTCTAATGTAGCTGATGTTTCTGATGTAAATAATGCTTCTTCTTTACTCTTCTCGGGCTCTTTGTCCTATGAAATATTCATTTTTATTTTCATTCAAAATCGTCGCTGATTTTCGAGAGTAACACTTATTAGTCAAATCCAACTAGCGCTCTATCATCAATGCTGCGTTCTGATTGGATGAGCTACTACTAGGCTATAAGTTCATAGCCTAACAGTCGCGAAAAATGCTGGCTTTGAAAACCAAAACAYTAAATTCAATCTAATTCAAAACTTGTTTGCATCTAAATCTTTGACCGACTAGTTGGATTTGACTAAAACAATTAGTCCTCTTGCCCTCATGGCGTATGAGTCAATAAAAGCCCATTCGTAAAGAGGACTTATTGCTGAGAAACCAGTGGCTTGCGTTCGGATCCAATTGGAATTCAGAAGTTGATTTTGGTGGAGGAAGGAAAACAAAAAGCGCCTTAAGAAAACCCCTCAATGCACCGAGGAGAGAGGCAGCAAGCAACTAGACTCACATATCATAGCAAGTCCAGGGTTCGAGCCAGGGATTGACCAAAGATTAGCATTAGTACCCCACACACTCGGATTTAAATCTAAAGCTCGGATCTACTGTTGGATAGAAATTGTGTGGTAACATCGCGTGACTGATCAAGCTAGCTTTAACAAAGTCCACAACAAAGGGGGCCATGAGAATCCAACTCATTAAACGATTCGATACTAAGTATATCTTAAGAACCGTATCTAAAATCCCACCAAACATGTACAATTAGTCATAAAAATGACAAAACAGCTTAAAGTACTCCTCGTGGTAAGAATAACGAGGTGATTTTAAACCAAAGAATAACTTGTTTGAGAATCTCATTATGGGATGAGAAGAAAAACTGGCAAACACAACGAAAACAAACGTGACAAAACGCACGACCTAAATAATTTTAAGAAGTACAATTTTAGGACCTTGAATACAATCGAGAAACAAATATGTGGTACAACCAAAACAATCAAASACGTACAAATGTATAAATATTAAGAGAAATTAAAATAACTGGTTTTTCATGAATAAAAGCGTTACACTTTATGCTAATAATACGTCTAAAATTCTCACGTTTTATTCGTCATTCCACTTTGAGATTTTAGGAATATTTTCCTATCTTGAATATGAATTTTTGACGATAATTTTCAAACTGGATATTCTTTATTAGTCTTAGGGTGTCTACGAAGGATGTGGCCCTACTAAAGTTTAAGTAAAATACGTTTAACGTGACGATCTGGTTCACAGTACGAACCTAAAAACCGACTTTCATTTGGTATCAATTTGTTCTAAATATAACAGATTCTAAACTATATGCCCGTTGGGTAAGATATCGAAATGAAATCTAAAAATGTAGTTAGAGTTTAATATGAGGAAGTTTGACGAGAAAGTTGCATATTTGAAGAGATTTACTTACGATATGAGACAAGATCGTCCAAGTTCCGTGACGGAATGAAGTGAAATTCAACTTGTTGTCGAAGCCACAAAGCAATGAATAATTTATTTTTCAGTCAGGACTCGAACACCGGGCTATTTTCAACGTGCTTTGCTCATTGTTCTCAAGAACAAATTGTCCGGTAAAATATACGTCCTTTTGTTATTCTAGTGTGTGAAAATATCGTCCAAGTGTTGGTGAAAMCTCATTTATCATGGGGGCGGAGACACCAGTAATTTATGAGGACTTTAACTATAAACAAAACGAGACGAAAGCCTAAATTATAATTCGCATAGTTCACTGGTTTAATAAACACAAGGATTTTAAACCGACTTGTTAAAACAAAACTCTAGAAAAGAAACAAAGAAGCAGAGAAGTGGCAAAGAAGCCCTAATTTTGACCATAGTACAACGCGTTATGTAATTAAGAAAGAAGCGAACAAAAGCGAGCCAGGAAACAAAAATAAAAGGCTTAATTCTAAGCGAATTTGAACGAAAATCAGGAGATAGAACTTAAAACAAACTTCAGTTAGACAATTTTTTTTWAAACTAGAAAGTCATGCTATCGTTATTTATCGTTTCTCGTCGTTGTTGTAAAGATTCAAGGTTATTCTGTAAGGTTGATTAATGGTGCTTTTGAGCGTCCAATTTTACAATAGCAAAACAGCTGTGTTCTAACACCACACCTGAATTATCATCAGATACAAAAGAGACGTTTATAACAAATGTTCTTGGTGATATTACTCCGTAAATACAGCCACTCAGTGGGATCCTACTTCGGTAGTAATAAGACTGACCCTGGGTGGGGTGGGGTGAGGTTAGTCACTGGTTTTATATGTAAATCTAAGTCAACAACATTAGAGTGGGCTGGGTAAATAAAAATAACAACTTAATAAAAAAATATAATAAGAAACCCAAGGGTAGGTAGGTTACTTTTTGCACACAACATTAGATTTAATAGCAATGACCATGGAGAATGACTTAAAACCCGTCCACACGTATCCGGATATTTTTGAAAACGGATTATTTTCTTTGCATATTTGGCCTTTTCCTTCCGTCTACACATATCCGGTGAATACACTACTTGAAAACGGATACGTCTGGAGAGGCTGAGACGATTGGAAAACGCTACTGTGGACGATAATTTTTTTGAAAACGGAACAACAAAATCCCGTTTTTCAAAAATATCCGGATACATTTGGACGGGTTCTAAGTCTTCTTTTTTTTGTAAATTCAATAACATGGGAGGGGTAGGTGAGTCACCTTTTGTGAATAAAACAGGCCCATCTACAATAGTTAGGAAATGGAATTGTATACTTCACTTAAAAAGAGAGAGAGAGAAAGAGAGAGAGAAGAGAGAGAGTGGGAGGGAGGGAGGAGTCACCTTTTGTGAATAAAACAGGCCCATCTACAATAGTTAGGAAATGGGGAATTGTATACTTCACTTAAAAAGAGAGAGAGAGAAAGAGAGAGAGAAGAGAGAGAGTGGGAGGGAGGAAGGGAGGGAGGGAGGGAGGGAGGGAGGAAGGGAGGGAGGGAGAAGGGTTTGTATGTATCTTTGATCCACCTCTGGTGACAGGCCATCCTGTGACATTAAATTTAATGGCAATGTCCCAGGGAGGGGTGGGTGAGTCATTTCACGGCATACCTTAGTATTCTCATTCTCCTGTTCCTTTGAAGTTGTTCTTGTTCTTCTAGATGATCTCCTTTTACTCCCTGAGCCTTCTCGTTCCCTTCTTCCACTGCCTTCTCGTCTTGGTCTTGGACTATCTCCCATCCCATCCACTCTATCTTGATTTGTCCCTTCTCGCCGTTTTCTTTCCATGCTCTCCTTTTTATATTCTTTCAACTTGGCAAGGCGTTTCTTCTCTTTGGCCTTCATGCTCTGAATAAAAAGACAAATTAGACCACTTTAATAAAAATGGAATATTCTGTAATAAAGCACCGCCCCCTCCCTACTGAAAGACAAGTGTGACATTTAGGATACAAGGACAGAGACTGCTGAGCCTCCAAGAAAATGGAGTGGGTGAACAAGGGCGGATCCAGCCAAAATTTTTTGGGGGGGGGCTAATTGAGTTTAGGGGGGCTAATTGAATTTCTTCCGTCAACGCAATGTAAAACAATATTAAAAAGCATTGTTTTTTTTGTGCTGAAGGGGTGGCTTCAGCCCCCCTTTGCCCCCCCCCCCCTGGATCCGCCCTTGGTGAAGGGGGGAAGGCACAGAGAATATACTTGACTAGTTGTAGTTGACAAGTAAGAAATACTACAGAGTCTGTGGACAGTTGCTTGACTCAGTCCAGCATGAGTTCAACAGGGTGATCCATCRATGTTAGAGAAACTGTACTGTATTAGAATAAAACTTATTGATGGTCCCTAGAATGGTAAGGAAGGGGAGGAGAAATTGTGGTTGGTGTTTCAGCAGAATTTAAGGTATAATTATAGTAGATATGATGTATTTTGTCACCTGGAGTTTAGCCAGTGGAATGATATCACAATCCTTCGGCTTATGCCATACAGTTGTTTGTGAYGCTGCACTGTAGTAATAATAGCGCTTGGTTTTGGGGTCAAATAGTTCCCACCAATGGCTTTCGTCTGCCTTTTTCCTGCAATTATCATTATAGCAAAACACTTAGAATAAGACTGTTTTGAGTGGACATGATGCATTCTGGTGTAACTTGAGTACAAACATGCCTAAATCTGTGACAGGGATCATAGTCTAGATTGGGTGAAATGAATCTTGTTTAGCATAGGGCTCCCAAAATAAAAATTGTGCATTCCCATCTAGCTCGCAAACAGTTACAAACGTATTAACTTTCATGACAAGATGCAATCTGGCATACATCTCCTTTTATTGCAATAGTAAATTGTTCACCGTTCATTGTCGTGTGTTGTTTCTACCCAAACTAGACCATAACGCAACACTACCTTTCAGAATGAATTTTTCCCTTAACGAGTCAAAAATCTTTGAGAGACCAGGGAGGTGCTCTCTCAAAGAACACGTCCCTGGAGAGGCCAAACATAACTTTAACTGGATGTGGTACATCTGGAGGGTACAGCATACAGTTAATGGCAAGAAATTGAGTCAGGAAGATTAAAAAAAAAAAAATTAAAAAAAAATAATTGGAGGATTGGACAGGTATATATTTACACTTTAATCAAGTGATCTTAAAAACTATACATTAAACGACTAGACAACACAACGAAATGAAATTATTGCAAGAGGAATTAAGACATAACAAAGTTGTAATAATCATTATGATGATAATATGACGACTAACAATGTTAAAACCATAGCATGTCTGAAGCAGATGGCCGACAGTTGATCACTGTAGAGAAAACAAAACCACAAAACCCACAAAAATTAAGCTAGAGAATATATGCATTAAATGGAAGACATAACTAAAATCTACCTTAATTTGAAGTGCTGTTTGTATTCAGAGATATATGATACATTCATAAAATATTCTACACATTTTCAATTTATCCATATAACTGTGATAACTTAATAATAGAAATGCTATACATAACAAAAATAAAGCTTAAGAATGCAAGCAAAGAGGAAGACATGACTAAAATCTATCTAATGCTAGTAGAATTCAGAGATACAGTCAATCCAAAAAACGTTGTCGTCAACCGGCTCAAGCCTACGCAACTGGACCGAAAGGAATATGGGTAAARATCAATGAAGTGGTTAAATATTCGTTCTGAATTAATTGTTCCCGCTAGTAGTAAAGATAATAATGGCGAGAAACAATCCATCAAATGCATGACTTCGGTTTAGGGAAAGAAAAACAAAGTAGTTATGATTTAGTTCACAATTTCCAAAAATATGAAGGCACTAAAAAAATGTCTCCTTCAACGCTTCCTGCTCGCCTACAAAGGTTCGTGCTGTAAACCAGGCATAACTAGTCAGATAAAATTACTGCAGTCAACTCGGCTTCAATGATTGCTACCCCGAGTTCCTTTCGGTGCAGTCGCGTAGGCTTGAGATGGTTGACGACAATTTTTTTTGAATTGACTGTATGTGCATCCATGTTACTTCACCACGTAAAAAATGAGAATGCTATATGGATAGAAATTGACCCTGAACTAGCTCCAATATTATAAAGAACTTTAAGAACGATTCCAATTCTAATCTCCTCCCATTCTTTTGAACATCCAATACTCACAATCGATCAATCAGCTCAGTAGGAGAGATGGATATTTTCTTAAGTACTGCATGTGTGGCAATAAATGTCTTGGATAAAACGAAATTCTTAAAGTAATTGTTACCTACGGCATCTGTTATTCATGGAAATGCATGTACATTTCATGGTGTAAACTCTTTTTGATTCAAGACTCCGACTCACTAATGTTGACTGGTTGTTATCGACTGTGAATACACAACTGTTTTTTTTCACCTCAGATTTTAATCATTTCAAAGTTCAAGTACATCTCAGACCAAACAAGAGATTTTAGAAACATTCATATGTGTCAATGGTTAACCATGATAAAGCATTCTCACTGATTGGGAGAATTAAGGTCATAATGGACGGTTTCGAAAAACAAGTCCAATTATGCATCATGTAATAAACAGCCTACAGGTATACAAAAACTTGTGTGGTTCATACATTTGTTCGTTAATTGATTAATGAACTTGATAAAAAATAGTGAGTATAATCAGGTGGGGGAAGTGGGTGAAGTGTGAAATTTTTGGGCCCTCTTGCCGTGAATAAGAAAAATACTCTATCAAAAATCTAAAAATCAAGTCTGGTTTTGCTGTCATAACACAGCATGCGTGGGACAATCACAACAGAGCCAGGCCATATTCAAAGGTGAAAATACTAAGACCAATTTAGAAATAGGAGTTGATTTTAATTGGACGAGGAAAACATTAATAATACTTAATATGTAATAAATATTTTTATGAGGGGGAAAATGGTTCTGACAATAAAAAGTGTCTAGTGTTTATTATTTATTATATTGTTATTATTATTAACCAGTTCAACCAGATTTACCTGTCTTGTTTTGAGATATAAACAGAATGTATACTGAAACCTTAAATGGCCATGTTGTCTGTAGATAATGAAAMAAATACAACACCACTATATAAACAAAATCTAAATATAACGATCAATTTGAATAACTCTTGTTCTTCACTGACTAGATACTGACTAGAGACTGACTAGCCTCTCATACATGTAAAAACACTTAAATTATATTTCCATTGACACACGAAGCTAGTCAGTCCTGAACAATTGTTATTCAAATTGGCTGCTATATTTTTATTCGGTGCATAATAAAATACTTACACTATGACTCCCTTCGGGGGTTCCCACAGGCATTGTCCTGTTTTTAGATTTGCATACATCGGCTCATTAGTCCTAGGCTCAATGATTTCAACCCATTCTTGTCTGTAAATAAGATCATTATGAAAATCATTAAATCCTTCCTTCCTTTAATTAATCAGTTATTTATTTAATCATCCATAATTCATTCATTCATTCATGCAAGAGATAGCCAATCATGACATTTTTTACTGTAGCTGTATAAACAAAGTAGCAAAAATTACAGACTTCAAAAACAAGATTAACCACTTGTTTGTCTAAAGTAGACAATTAGGTGAAACTATACAGACACTAAAAAGCAAGCATTTTCAAATGCAGATAACGACTAGTTTTGGAACTAGTTTGGACTGCGTCGGTGTTTTTTAGTTGAAACAAATGTGTAGAATTAGATAATTTTATCACCGTAAATACGAAAGATAATAGACTGACGCTTCGGACGTTAGTCCTTCGTCTGAGTCAATTTTCAAATGCGTATGTTTTCTAACTCCTTAAATATTCTTTATTGTTTAGTATTTATCCCTAAATATATCTGTAGTGAACACAAATCAATTAGTTTWAAAAATATCCTGGGCAAAAATGTTGTCCATATTTAGTGCGGAGCTTGCTTATATGATACAACTGATTCGTTATCATAATGAAACAAAGCTTCAGCATCAAAATGTGAAGTGTATCCAAGAATATGCTTGATCAATCCAAATTTTAATAGAGTAATAAGCTCTTTGATGACATCTCGCTGCTTTGTGGCAATACATGGCCAGAAGAAAATTTGTCAAGCTTATAGGACCAGAGTATAGTTCTTTGACTATTTGAGTCATAAACTTTAATCTATTAATCTTTATAAATAAATAAAAATTTGACAATTAAGTATAATAATAAGTAATTTCTGATTTCAAATCTATTGAAATATCTTGAGAAAGTAAGGGTATTTTGATTACAAAAGTAAGAAAACTGTAAATATGAGAATCCGATTAATTTTTTAAATTTTCAAAACTCCTTGAGAAGAAAATCAAGAATAAACGCATTCAAGTAAAAGTGGCATACAATCGATGGCATTAAAGGACAGCTCCTTACTGATATGACTGAAAGAATGCAATTATCAACCAAATTGTTAAATTAATGTATGTCAACGCTGGAATCATTAATGAAAACATATATCACTACAAGTTTAATATATCGGCTTGCATGATCTACTGATAAGTACTGAACTTTAATTCAATGGGCTCATGTCTGACTGGATTAAGTACTATTATGCATATGTAAAAATAGTGGGATTCAATTGTTTTAAATTTAATTACAACATTGTATATTTATTTAATGACAGAATGAATGATGCGAGCATGTGGAAAAATATAGAAACTGAATGTTATAAAACGCTGTTAAAAAGGAAAAAAATATTAAGAGACATTTAAATTGTATTTAATTGTTTCGAAGTTGAAGAATGATATAAACATTGTATAATTTTGTAATACTGTTTACGACAATAACACGTGTAAGAACATAAAAATTCGATAGATAGTACAGTAATAGTGAAGACGATTCTATAAAAATAATTGTAAGGCAATCAAGCGTGTAGTGTCGTATAATATCGGTGCTTCATGGAGAAAATAAGTTCTGAATCCTTAGTCCCACTAATCGTGATCTATCTGCATATAACAATATAAATATCGTACAAGGCTTAATCGAATTATTTCACAGCTAAGTGCTCATCTCCAGTACGATTAAGGAATGCTGGTTTAATAACGTATTGTTTGGAAGTTTAACGTATTTTTAACATCAATATTTGAAAGCAGGAATGTTAGATTTTTAAAAGAAGAATCCTTTTTAAGAATTTAAGTTTTCAATTGTTGTGGCACTTTGGCACAGGTAATTGATAGCATAAACTTTGCTGCGCATAATTCAATAAATTCTCGTTCAAATTCCTGGGTTTAAGGCTAATATTGTACACGAAAAGAGAGTTAATACCAACATAAACCATAAATACGAGCTTCAACATGTCCACAATTTTTTTCATATCAAAACAACATTACAATAGATCGTTGAAGCGAAAAAACGTAAAACAAAAACCTTTCTTTCAGTTTAGAACAAGATRTGACTGAAATATTAAATTGCACCAGAGCTAAATATCTAAAAATCACAAGTCTTTCTCAAGATTATTAGATAGAGGACTGATTTATGAACTGATTCTCGTTGATATTCGTCTAAAATCAAAGAATTTGAAAGCTAATTCTAGAATCAGTAGAATAAAAGCTAAGGTCAAACACTAATTCTAGGTTTGTGTGTTTATGCGCATAATACGACACCAGCACGACTAGTGGCCATCTTTGTTAAGATTTCACGACAGCAGAGATCTACAATCCAAACAGTTTAGAGGATTTAAAAGAGTGGAAAGCAGAGTGTTTTAGTAAATAGGTATTATGAGTGACCTTCACGTCTTATTTAGACTTTAAATCAAATGAGCAAGAACGCACACAGAACCTTTMAAATTTGAACATTTAGGAATAATTTCGCTAGGAATTCTGAATGGAGACTTACTTCTGAGCCATCTTGATTCCCTCTCTCGAGGGCAGAAGCCCTAAGAGGTTAGTTTAAGTGTTATTTTTCGAGAAAATACCCCGACATCCATGTAGTTCCATCCTTCTCCTTTGTGGGCAGTACCCTTCGGACTGATGGCCTGGAACCAACCACAGGCATCCCACCTAAGGAAATTAAACTCACTAAGAAACAAGTTATAACAAAAACTATGATTCATTTAATTCATATAAAAAAGAGAAAAATAACCATTATTTTGAGGAAAATCTTTAAAAAATATCTTAGGAATTAATTCCTTATACTTTGGATTTATATATTAATTCTAAACAACAAATTTCAAAAAAGTTTCTTTTACATTTTCAAATCTCTATGATACTGTACTTCCATGAAGAATATTTATATTTATGATGATAAATCATAAAATGATTTTTTTTTTTTGCGGTTTTCCTGGGTTTTTATCTTAAAAATTAACTCTAGTGACGCAATTTCGAAGGACGAGAATGCTTAGTCTCGATTGGTTTAAATGAATCACGTGTATCACGACCTAAAAATAGATTTTCTGTTTGTCAACAAAAAGAGGGGAAAAATCGCGGACTTTTTTTCGTTGATTTTTAAGGAATCGTGCCTTCAAAAATGAGTAGTCAACCTCAAAGACCGTTTAAGGAGAGAAAGAGCTTCTGTAAGTATAAAGAAAATGTAGTTTGAATGTCAAATTTATTCAAATTCGCCACTCAATGTTTTGGACCTTTTCCTTTGCAGCTGAAACCGAAAAAGCCCTGCTAATTTTGGCTTTTTGTCGTCCATTTTTATGACTTTTTACACAATAAGAGCTCATATTACTTCCTATATTCAATCGTTAATGGTTATTATTTCTCTTAGCGTCCAGAAAACGCGATTCCGAAAGCATTTGCAAACAATATCCCGAAAAAATTCCTGTAAGTATGAATTCAAAATGGTGGTAAGTGAGTCTACGTGTAGAATTTCTTGCAACGTAATTACAGTTCTGATGATTTATTGCATTTGCTTTTTCATTTGTTTTATTAAGGTTATCGTCGAGCGACTCAAATCAGAAAAGAACTTACCGTTGTTGGATAAAATAAAATACTTGGTGCCCAGTGATTTGACGATGAGCAGTTTAGCGAGTATAATCAGGTATGATGCAAGGGACTGTATTGAATATGTGTGGCTGTCTAACGTGTTGTGGTCGAAGTTAGTGGTTTTTACTGGGATGTAAATATGTTTGTTAACTAATTCAACTAACAGTAAATGTTAAATCATATTTGTTATGATGCTGTGATGGTTCTCAAGTTTTTTTTAATGATTTTCTTGATTGAAACAGATTGCTAATTTATGCAACGAAAGAAAAAAAAAAGAACCAAATGGGAGGTTTTACTTATTTTTTGACTGGAAAAATGGGATTTAAATGGGACTGGAAACTGGCTGAGAATGGGAAATAGAAGACATCAATATGGCAGCCCTCCAAGAAAAAAAAGGGAACTTCTGCAGTCTTACCATTAGTTATTTGATCTGAGGTAAAAGGGTCCATAAAAGAAATAATACTCAAGGGAATGACATGTGGTCTTGGAAATGAATAAACATGCCCAAAGAAAAAGGGTCAATAAAAGAAATGATACTCAAGAGAATGACACCTGGTCTGAAATGGGAAAACATTACACCCAAAGTAAAAGGGTCCATAAAATAAATGCAAGTTAAAGAGGTATATCTTTTGCAGAAAACGGCTGCAGCTTGGTCCTACACAAGCATTTTTCCTCCTTGTAAATGAAAAGAACATGGTCAGCATTTCGACAACTGTTGGTGAGGTGTACAGAGATGAGCATGATGAAGATGGCTTCTTGTACATGGTGTATGCTTCACAGGAAACATTTGGATAGAATAATTACATGATGAGACTTTGAGAATGCAAAATAGTGACTCTATTGGTGAAACTCTGCTAATCATCACATGAATAATAATTTGTACAAAAGAACTGACTTTCTGAATGACAGCATATGGTGGTCAGTGTTTGACCACTTTTGGGAACAGATAATGATATTTAGTGTGAAGACTTTTATCAGACTGGTTAAACCCCAGTGATAGAATACACATACTTACAGACCTGATAGTTGCTTACTAACTGATAGTTGCAAGTTATTTTTAAGGCATATGTGTAAACATAGAAAATTAATTTATGTATTCTGAATGTGTGCTTAACAGAGTTTCACAAAAGGAAGGTCAATTTTACATTTTCAGATACTGATTTTCCACTACCATTGGAGCAGGGGAGAGTATTGGCTTTGTACAGGTTTACGACAAAAAACTGTCATGTCATACAATGAATCAAAATATGGCAACCAATTTGAATAACTATTGTTCTGCACTGACTAGTGACTAACTACCCTCGTGATCACATGGAAATATAAAAGCATTTTCACATGTATGAGAGGCTAGTCAGTCGCTAGTCAGTGCAGAACAATAGTTATTCAAATTGGTTGCCGCATTTCCATTTGATGTATATTATAAATCAATTTTTACGACATTTTAGAAATAACATTTTAATCACTAATTTGTGTTGCAGTTATTAATGTATACAGCAATTGTTGTTATGTGTTAATAATAATGGAACACAGTCATCTCAGAGAAGGGCTAGATTTAGGTTTTATGGCCACTTTCTCTAAAACTCATTTGTACATACTGTAAGGTGTGGTAAATTGTATGTAAAATTTTTAAAGTTAAATGAAACAAAAACAATAATAAAATACTTTACATCTAATAATTTATAATGATTTATAGACTAAGTGTTACTTGAGTGAAATAAATTTACAGAATTAAACCAAACAACAAATGAAAAATATACATTAGCTTATAATTTATTAAGCTGTTTTTTCTCTTTTTCCTTTTGAGTTGGTCCTCAAAAATAACACTTTCCTTTAGCTAGGCTTTCAGCCTAATGTAAAAGGGAAATTATGAAAGATATTCGTAGAACTCATTACTATTTAATGAGGACAAAAAATTCCGGGTAAGTACGTGACAGTGGTTTAGTCGTTTAGATATCTGATCTTAATTAGCATTAATTTTGGTCAAATTTTGCTTTGATCAGTTCTCAAAAAAATAGTTTGAGAAGCCATGTCAAACATGTGAAAGGGTGTTCCATCCAATATGCAAACACCATTAAAGGTGTAATATTGGCAACCAAATTGTGCAATTTGTTTTGTGACATTGCATTGCAAGTTGCAAAGCAAGCATTACTGGTATTACCACTCCGCATGCAACAAATTTTCATTGTTTCAAAGAGAAGAGTTGGTTTCTACTTCACGCAACATCTTGACAACTTGTCACATGCAAAGTGGTAAATACAAGCAACCTTTGCTCTGTAACTTGCAACACAATAATGTTGGCAACTAGTTGAGCAAATAGTTGCCTGTATTACGGCACCCTCAGTTGTTTTWAAATTGTCATGTTTTATACATTGAGTCTATTTTTTACAAGGAAAATGCATACAGTGAACACCAGGAAAATGATACAAAGTATCCCACATCTGTTTTGTTTGAATATTCCCTCGACTCAATCCTCCATAGTCAAGCAGGTCAGGATTCCATATTGCAATCCCTTTGAGGTTCGCATACTCTGAAGCATATCTATACTTGAGGCTCAAGCTTGCAGGGTCATCGTACCACACTTGGTGCGTGTTACCATAGTGATCCACATACCAGAAATAAGGTGACAGGGACTCTATGTTCCATTGACGGCCAGTATCTGTACGTGTCACTAAAAGGTCCTGGATTGTCGCATAATCAATCTGAGTTCCTGCGGCATCACTGCAGTTGACCCCTCGAAAAGGAACTTCTTTAATATAGCAAATTCCTTTTTCTGCATCAAATTTTGTGCAGATGTAGTCATAGCCGTACCATGGTAGGCCCAGTACTATTTTGCTGCTGCTAATATTTAGCTTTGTGTACTCTTCAACACCTTTTTCATTATAATAAAAAAGAATTCAAATTTAAGAGTGGTTTTCATGAGAGGAAAACAATAGCACTGAGTTTCAGCTCATACACTGTATAACCCTGTAATACTGAACAGCTGATTGAATTAGAATTTAGCACGTTGGGTTTTGCAGATTAAGAAAAACCAGAGGGGAAAAAAACCTTGAAGCCCACCAAACGTTACTCACAAGTGATACTAAGTTTAGGAATCAAACCTTAGACCCCAGAAGTAAGAGGAGAATGCACTACTGCTACACCAGCCCTGGTTTATAAATGAGTTATATTCACCATTAAATAATTATTTACTAGCCAGGATGTGTATGGTACTGATTTCTACCTTTCATGGTCTGAGTATATGGAGAGTTGGCTTTGGCAACACAAGGACCTTCTTTTATTTGACTTTGTTGATCATAAGCCATGATGACAATGAAGTCTGTGGCATCAGCAATAGCCTTGTGGTCATAGCAACGGCCGTCGATACAGTTGGGAGACCATGCTACATCAAATGACACCTACAGTACAAATGTAATAGGAATTGATTGATTAGTTGCATTGCAGTTTGAGTGCAATTAATCGGTCCCATCTCTTCTTTCTTCTTTCCTTCTTATTCAGATGTGAATTTTCAATCTGCTGTCTCCTTTTTTTTGTTCCTCTCCTTCCTAAGTAACTTTTATTTCTTCAATCTTCCTTTGTTTATTAATCGTATTATTAATTCTGTCACTTATTAAATGTGTAGTTCCAAAAATTATCCATACCCCCCTCACGGAGGAATTTTTTTAAGACACCCCCTACCCCCCGGAAATTCCAATTTTCTTCCATACGAACTCTGTAATTTTTGTTCTTTCTCTGACCTCCCTACTCTTTGGAAATTCCAAATTCCTCTGTGGGGTGGATATGGATGATTTCTGGAACTACACAATCTTGATTAATTAAATTTCCCATTTAATCACTGTTTCCATTTATTTATTTATGAACTCCAATAAGGGATCCTGCTTCTATGAGTTACCCCTTATAATATTGGATAATTTACTCGTTGCATAGCCTTCAAATTTTCTTCCAACATTTACTGTAAAATAATGAAAGAATAATTTGTTTTGAATTGCACACTAACCTGTGAACCAGGAATGTTCTCATGGAATGATTCACTTGTTAGCTTCACTAATTTTGATAGCAAAGTAACTGATTTGGAATCCTTAGGGACAGGGCCTTCGATGTCAAGGTTAATGCCATCAGCAAAGTTTTCGATTGCTTCAGTTGTCTTGTTTTTGATCCATTCATCCCGTACAACGCTGTTGTTTAATTTTTCCAGTGGGAAATTAGCCAACAACACCACACGGACACCCTATAAAGATTTTTGAAATATTTAATATCTAGGAATGCATATTTTTGATACTACACAATATATCCCCTCTGACCCTAGGCCTCCCTACCCCTTGGAAATTCCGATCTTCTCCATTGGGAGGTAATAAAATTTTCTGGAACTACACTCAATATACTGTCCTCAGACACTCCCCATCCCTTGGAAAATATTGTCATCTACACTTCATTTCTTCAACTATTTAAACTGAGATCAAATATGTTTACTTTTGGTGTTTTTTCATAAAATGAAACAAAAATCAAAAACTATCCTTTTCAGTTGCATATAAAATTCATACTATGAGATATATAATCAGCATAGAAAGAAAATTGCTTAGACAACAGCTTAAAAAAACAACCAATAACTGAAACATTTATATAAAATCAAAATTAGAATCTCCTGTAGTTTATGGTATTTGCACTGGTGCCATCAAATATAAATGTAAACAAAAGTCATTAACACTAGCAATAAACATTAAGAAAAGAGTGGCAGAATTTCTTTTCAACAATTGTCTTGTAAATTAACACTGTTATCTCAAACTTGTGACAGTAAAATACTTACTAAACGTCAATTAAACTCATAAAAGTAATCATTTCAAAAGCTGTCTCAATCCTTTGTGTTTCGTAATTAGTAAGTTTTTTTACATGCAAGTTCCTTAGAATCGACAGGTAGTTTTAGCCAGTGATTTTCCAAACTTGCATGTACAACTCTAGTCCAATATAAAAAATCTGAAGCAATTTACTGTAACTTGTGTAGTTATTGTTTCTTAAAGAATAATACATCGCAAAAAGATGTCTTTGGGATTAAATATAGTATATATTACCCTAGAATGAGCGAAACAAAATAGCTCATCATCCCAATCTCTGAACACTGCTACAGTCGTGATCTTTTTCCAGTCGTAGTGTCTCCACACATCTGGTTTGGTTGACCACATTAGAAACTCCTTACCAGGGGGACGTGAAATGGTATCACAGAGGGATGGATTCACACAAGGACATTTCCTTGAGACCACTAGATTAGTGATCATAAGGAGTAAGACGCTGATCATCCAACAAAACGCCATGTTTTGGTTTTGTTTGTGTCGTGGTTTGGAAGTGACTTGTTGAAACAAGAATTTRACAGGCATTCCTTGCTGCAGCTCGATGAGACTGGGAACAAGGAAATGGGAAGTTGGGAGGGAGGGGAGGGTCATGGAAGGAAATAAAGAATGGAAAGAGAATGAGTGGAAGAAAGATGACGAGATAGTGAAAAAGGAAGGAAGGTAGGAAAAAGCAAGAAGAAGGAAAAACGAGAAGAAATAGGAAGGAAGGGAGAGAAAAGGAATCATTCAAAAATGAAAAAAATGATTAAAGGAAACGAAAGGAAAACAAAAGACAAAAGAAGAGAAGAGAAGAGAAGGGAAGAGAAGAGAAGGGAAGAGAAGAGAAGAGAACGTACCTATGACGAGT